AACCCCCAAACTAACCCCACCCGTCCCAGGCTGCTTGGCTTACTTTACCTGAAGCTTACTTTACCTAAATTGAAGTCTTATCGGCTACTGCCGGTCGGAGGAGGAGCGCCTTATGCGCGCGCGTGTAAATATGATGGTAAATTAAATGCGCGTGCAGGAGCGATAATGGTTTAAGCCAGAACTTCTTCGATGAGAATTTGCCATGCCTAGTTTACTGTAGTACAAGTGCTCGGGCCCAAGCCCAAGGCTCTTCCACGAGCTCAAGAAACGCCCACATTCAATGTCATCTTCCTGTCACCCTTCAAGTTGCGAAGTGCAGATTCAAGGCGCTTCGCTTCAAAGCGCTTCGCTTCAAAGCGCTTCGCATCGCGGTACCCAAAAGAATACCGTTCCGTGTTGGCTGGATTCAGAGATGAATGGTGATTTTCTGTTCTGTCGCTGCTGGAAGCATTGCTAAAGTCCTCATTCATGTGACAATACTGAAAGTGGGAACCTTTGATGAACAAGGTTCTCTTGATGTAGGTTCGAAGCTGGGGATCTAAGAGATTTTAAACCACTGCAAAGCCAAAAGCTTACAACAAACAGTGAAAAATATCTTTGGAAGATTGGCGCAAGATCTTTTTAGATCTGTCCGGTCCAGGTCTCCAGCCCCGACATGTTTCTCCGGCGCTTTACGGGGCCGCTTCTCTCTGCTGCTAAGGAAAGCACGGGCATCGTCGGTCTTGATGTTGTCCCAAATGCGCGGGAGGTGTTGATTGGTCTATACGACCAAACCCTCAAGGTCGTCAAAGATCAGATTCCTGAGCAAGCAGAGTACCGGCGCAGTGTAGAGCGCATCACGAACTACCGGTTGAAGGTGTGCCAAGAAGAGGAGGAGCATGATAGGATTGAGCAGCGGATTGGGTGCGGGCAGGTGGAGGAACTAATTGAGCAAGCAAACGACGAGTTGGAATTGATCCCTGTGATGGTTGGTGAGTTTCTGCGCAATTGTTCTGCTCCCGTTGCATCTCCTGCGTTTGCACAGACTTATGCATTTTGAGGTGGCTAAGCAGTGTTGTTTATCAAGGAGCGCGCATGCATTCTAGGGTTTCCACGGTGGTACATACCAATCCACATGAGATGTGGTGCAGACAAATGTGTGCGAACTTTCGGTGCAAGGACTAAATTGGCTATTCCCCAAACTTTTGTATCACCCAAAAGGTGCCTGCATGCAAAAAGTCCGTACTTGCTGGCGCTGTTTCTTTATGACACTGGACTAGCTGGTGGCTTTTGGTCTTTCAGATTGGATTGCAGACAACCGACATGGCAGATACAAAAATGCTGGTCGCAGTGCCATTGAAGTAGCGACTGTTGGCCTTTCTTTACTCTCGTTCACTCCCGGAAAAAGATTGAGGAACAAGACCAAACTGAGGAGCAGTGACAAAACGGGGTTGTTCAGTCAAGCGACTGCTTGATTGTTAAAGACCAATCGAAGGTTTCAACACCAGTGGACAGCATTCAAGAGAGCATATGCTGGGATGTTGTCCAGACTATGGTACAAGCAAAAACTCTCACTCCGTTGTGGTAGCCACATCATTTGGAGACAACAAAGTCCCTGAGCGCTCCATCTCAAAAAGGATTGCATGACAATCTCCTATCTCATCAATCCGAAAGGGCTTATGCCCCAAACTGTGACACGGGGTCAGCAGATTATACCACTCTTGAAATATATGTTGATGAGCTTTGCTGGTTCATGGTGAGGTTTCGTCGTGATCCAAGGGGCCTTTAGATTGACTGGCGTTCAGGTCAACTTTCATCTTGTTGGGTTATATCTCTTGAGGGACGTAAAGCAGAGTGCATTACTTACGTCTCCAGAGCTTGCGGCTTTGTGTGTCTCTAAACTCTTCTATTACGCAATTCTGATTGCCTCAGAAGCAACCTTGTGCTCCTAGGAGTAGCTTCTGATTCGCATCCTGGATTATCAGCGATTTTTTGATGAAGCAAAACAGACTTTATTCTTTATAGATTGCAATACTGACAGATGGATTGCCGTTGCAAGCAGAACGGACTTTGTATCAATCTTTTTCGACAATCGTCTCATATTGCCGCTGAGATGTTCCTAGTGAGACGCTTGTGTATGCTAGGTAGTTCGTTCATAGGACTGTTCGCTATGGGCCCGAACAAAGATCAAAGTTCAAGCTTCCTTTGTTCAAGCATACTTTGTGTATGCTTGTTGAAGAGTTGCGTTTTTATTTACAGAGAGCAAGCCATGGGAGGTCCCGGAGGGCTACAAAGTGGAAATCATCGAAGACACGGAACCAATTCCAGCGCACATCCCCCAGCACTTAAGCACGTGAGAACGTTCGTGAATGCATGTGTCAAATTGAATTCGGACCGGTTACTGCTCAAAACTAGCAAACAAGAGTCCATAGGCTGTTCACAGAATGAAACTTAAAGCTTCGCTCTAAGCAGTAAAGCTCCCCAGATTCAGGACTTTTCGTGGGAATGTCATGGCAACACGCGAATCATATTCTGTTCATTGATTACAAGCGCTTGTGTTTGAGGGGCCTTCTATCATTGTGCTGGTCATAGAACGGCTCCATGAACAGCTGCAAGCAACTGCAAAAAGGGCCTTCCCTCCTTTGAGCGTAGCTTGTCTAGGTCTTCTCTTCAGCGACCCGCCTCAGGCTAAGCCGTCGTTCTGCTCTGGCAGTCGTTCTGCCTTTGCTTGCTTTGCTTGCTCGCCCTCGCTCATTGGGCTGAGTCTCTTTTGTTCCACCACACCGTCGGCCGCAATGTTTATTTTGATGATTGCACATGACGTGGATTCGCCGTACGGCATTTGAGCAGCCGGGCGCAGAGAATACTGTTTCAATATGGGCCGCGCAAACGGTTTCATCGAGATTTCACATGCACAACTTGCAAAGTATATCCTGCCGCGCCCATGCGGGTCATGTAAACTCCTGATAATATATGAAGCGCATTGATCACGTCACAAAAAAGTTATTCTAAGCTCGTCAGATTGACTTAGGCAGGCGGCAACACTAGCTAGCCCCGTGCAACTGACTGAGTGTGACAAACTTCAAAATCTTGTGTATCCAGCTTTTATATATGCATGCGCCTAAGAGCTAGACTGTGCACGCACTGCCACACAGTTCGCGGACTCATTTGGCATATACATATATATATATATATATATAATGATACACATATACATATGTATATCATTGCTGTAGCTGTACGCTCTTCGTGTATTATGCATATAGACACTGAATCAAGCCATAGAAAGCGCGTCTGGCATGCATCTGCATGTCACTGTGATCGTCACCATGCTGAGTATATAAATGTTCATGTGTACCCACATGTACTATAACATACAGAGAATGCAGCCTTCGCACGATCATTCATATACACGGCATGAATTACGGTCGGTGATGCCAGGGCGTGAAGCCTGCGCGATGTAGCGGTTCAATGCTATACGGGGTACTCTTCTTACCAGGAGTCGGATGTATATAGCTGGTCAATGATGATACGTGCAATATGAAGAGCGCGACAATGAAGCCGTCACACGACTGAGGATGTGTTTGAGTCACTGAATACCGTCCTCAGCACTGAGGCTGAGGCCGTTCAATCAGCCAGCTGGCAGTATGCATGTCTGACTCTGACCTCATCAAGTAGCTTGCAGTTAGGCACATCGTCCTTATGCCAGAGTATACATATTTTACAGCTTTTCAACCGCTCTGCTTTTTAAACTTGTTGCTTCTTCAAGCTCTGGTCAGTATGCAGCTCTACAGCTTTGCCCCCGACCAAGTGCTGTCTCATTTGTCCTCGGTACGTTACTCGCCTCAGCGGCAGTTTAGAGCTCACAGAGGAGATTTGACTTGGTTTATATGTGCGGTGTACTTCAGTGGGCGGACAGTAATCGGCCAGCAGCGCACCGTGCATTGACAAGTCTCTAAAAGCGGACCGCTAAGACCCCACGTGAGTGCCTCTCGGAGAACACTCATATATAATAGCGAGCTCTTGCAAAAGTGGTGACGTCATAGGAAAAAAGCCTCGTCCAACCCACTCAGAAGCGCGCCGATCGCCCCTGCGTGGCCCTCGTGCCGCAGGAAGACCGCCTTCATGACGCCCTTGGACCAGAACTCAACGGCCACGGACAGCAGTTTCATGGCGACCTGAAGAAGGAAATTACAGACACGCTGAGTGAGGACCAACCGTGCAAGGTCGCCGCACATGAAAGCACAATCGGCTTTTCGTAGATCGACCTTCCTTTGCTATTGTGTGTAATCGGTGGGAAGGGCGCGCTGACTATACCATCCATGCAAATTCGAAACAGAAGCCTGAAGACCAGCAACAGTTACTCCATCCAGAGGGACGATTTGGACGATTGAAGAACAGAAGCAAAGTACTGTAGCATGAACGCTTCGTTGGCGCTTGTGAAGGCAACCGACACGGCGTGAATAAGAACCAACGAGTAACCGGTCAGAAAGAGAACAGAGAATCATCACCTAAGTCAAGAGATTCCAGGTCTCGAGCGCTTCTCACCTTGTTCCCGTGCAAAAAGGACCCAGCAAACAGAATCCGCTTCACGCCCGCCGCTTTGGCGTGTAGCATGGCCAGACTGCCCACGTTGTTGGTCACCATCAGCAGGCACGCTTTGGCCAGGTCGGCGGGAGATGCGGCGACCTTGCCGTCACCTCCAGGCTGCACCAGTTTGCCGAACGAAGACGCGACGACTGTTGCGGCCAGGCCCATCTCAGTATAGTCGCCGCCTGCGGGAAGGAGGAGAGCCCTGAGATGCTTGGACATTGGGCGTGTCGCAAAGTTTCCTTACCTTATGGAATCAGTATCGCTTTACAACTTCTATATCCCCTCTGCTTGCGCGATAGACTGCGCGAGCCTGTGGAGAAAGCGAAGACTAGGCAACGTCTGTCGAAGTGGATGTGGAGACTAGGTCGACGCTGTCGAAACCGAAGCGGACCAGGCAGCTGAAAATAGGCAGGAGATCCGTTTCTACTATTCCGACGAAGTTTCTGCGAAAAGGACATGCAGTGTTGGGCTTCTTCGGCAGGAGAGACAGCGGTAGGCTCCACCATTGAATCGATACCCACCAAACCCACAATTCCGAAGTTCGATGTCTTCCGAAATCTGAGCGTCCAACCTCTGCATCAGCCATAATCGACCGCATGTCTGCTTCAAGAGCTATTCTCAGCAGTCGGAACGCCATAACTTGCATTCACATGTAGATAGTACTGGCTCGACGCATTTCGCAACGCTTACCGTAGATGTCCCCTACTAGCATGTCCACGTTCGTCGAGTCTCCCCCCGCCGCCATCGCAATCGCCTCCCTAAAAGTCTTGCACCCGGTCAGCGCCGACACGAGCCCCAGAAACGTACTTCCCCCCAGACTAGTTCCCCCCACCCGTTCGTACACGTGTCGCCCATCCACTCGCAGGATACTCACTCCCGACCCAATGTTGACAACTAGGTACGGGTACGCGGACTCTTCCGCGCCTTCGAGCGCGGCGCCGAGGCGCGTCAGGCTGCTGCTCCGGATGCCACGTGCCAGGGATCCCTTTCCGGAGGGGAACGCTTTGTGTTGCCGGCGGTCGTCCCCGGACCCGTCGTCGCTGTGCTCGGGGGAGTGGAGGGGCCGCTGGATGGCGCCGCCCCGGTACGCGTCTGCAGCAGGATAAGAATTTCAAAACCCGCGGCTAATTCTTAGTCAAGGGCTGTAAATTCTGGCCCGGCACGGAGTGGCCGTTGTTGTGTGAGAGAAGAAGCGCTCATTGGTGCCAGAGGCAGGTCCAAGGCGTCACGGGGATCAGGCTGTGCAGATTGCGGTCTTCCCGATTTCCGCTTTCAGGAAAGTGGCGCATTTTAACCAGACGACTCCGAGAACGGCCCACTCTTGGAGAGACTCTGCCCATTTGTGCTAGGAGGCTGAGAGCTTGACTCGTCGAACGAATGGAGCTCGTTTGGATCTTTGTGCAGAGAAGCAAGGGTCGTCCAAGGCCGGAAACTATCGAGGGACACGGATGGCTGGCCAGTCTCAAAACGACAAGATAGCAGATGCTTTGAAAAGCATGTGATTCTTTTTAAGCTCTGAGGAAGAGGTCCTTGTCGGAACGAAAACACGAGGAGGAAGATTCCCTTGACAATTTGAAATGGACATGAGCCGGAAAAGCAACTTCGCTCTCTGCAGACGTCTAACCAGGTCAAGAACACAGCTTTTGTGTGGCTGAGCTCGCTTACACATTGATGCTAATCTCGGTCGACTCCCGTCCGTCGAAGTATTTGCCTCGATTAGCGTTTCGATATTCAGCACATATTTTCCTTTCCAGTGATTTGTATAAGTTGGGCACCTCCGCGTACACGAGCTTGACCATTATTGGGAGCGAGATTGGCGTTTAGTCAACGGCTTACCAATCTCATACTCGAAGCTGTCGTCCTCTGCATGCCGTACCAGAAAGTCTATCCCCTTCAGCAAGCTGCATAGTCCAAGTCGAGGATCAGCACTGTGAACTGCTTCCGAGTCAACCAATCCAACCCAAAACATACATCACTTGACTCAAGTGATGTAATTAATCTAGAGTTCTCTTTGTCGACCAATTGTGCATCCGGATATTGCAGGCCGCTTGCCCAACCCGAGTCCGTCCAAGTTTCGGCGGCCAATTTCAAGGAACGACTTTTTGCCGCACCTTGTAATCGAGTTGACAGTCTGCTTTTTCTGCCCACCAGCGCCAAGCGAATAAACCAGTCAACAACACCAAACCGCCCTCTGCCACCAACGTAGACATTCTCATAAACCCCTTACCACTTGAGCTCATCCTCTTTCCGCAGCTGAATCCCCGCTTGCTCATGGAACACATGTGCAAACTTCTTGGCCCCGCCTCCCGTCGCCCCGATCACTTTGTCGCGGCTCACCAGGGAGTGCGTCCGCGTCAATGCAAGAAAGTCCTCCACCCGCCAAGTCTCTGCAGTGAACAAATAGAAAAACCGTCTAAATCATGCTGAGTCGACCAGGCTTTGACTCAAAACCTGTAGGTTCGTTTGACGAGTCTCTCCAATGCATGTCTTTACAGTGGCAGTGCAGATAGAAACAAGTTACAAAGTGGAAAACGACTGACTTTAAAGTCACAAGGAAGGGCTATGATTATGCAACAAAAGCAATCAAGAGGCTTTGAACATAACCAGGAATGCATTGTCTGCATGATCCATAAACAAACCTCACTCACTCTTTGCTTGATACTGGTAGTGGCTGGCTCTAACATAGTGCATATCATGGCACGATACCGCTTGCAGGGCTGAGTATGCTCCTCTTCAGTACTGACCACCTTGTTGCTTTTTGAAAGACCAGAACAGTAGCGAAGACATGTGGACAGGAATCAGGAAATGCTGTAGCTTTGGACAGAACACGTTGAGAAGCCATAAAAAGCCAATTCTTCGAAGGAACACGTCAAGCCTAAAGTCTTTTCACATCTTCGAAAGAAGGCTGAGTTTAACTGACTTCCATCAGTATACGCTGTTTTATCAAGAAAAAACTCTCAAATTCACATGAATCATAAGGTTTTTCCACAACGCACCAAACCTCTTGAAGTGCAGCGTCCCTTTCCCAGGCAACACAATCGGCTCGTGACTTGACATCCACAGGTTTTCCACATCGTCAACACCACCTCCCGACCCATCTCGACATCGATCCTTTTCAGAACTGTCCTCCGAAGCTCGATCGCCGTTCCCCCCGTCTCTTTTTCTTGGAGGTGGTTGTTCACTACCTTCTGGACTGCCCCACTTGCTTTCCTCAAGAATGTTCCCACCACTAGTTTCTTGTCTGCTGGTTCCGGCAACCCCATCATGGCCTTCTGCCCCATTTTGCACATTCTCGGAGCCCGGCTTCCCATTCCCATCTTCTAACTGCCGCGAGTGGTCTGAACTGCTGCTTCTGCTGTTTTCTAGATTTGTCTCCTCAACCAAAGTCCTCAGTGCGGCGCCCCTCTGTCCATTGACCCTTCCCCTCAATTCTGAGACTCCACATATTCCTTCAGGGCTATCCTGACACTCATTTCGTCGGCCACTGACACCTGGGCCTTCTGTGTCAACTTCAACTTCCCTATCATACTGAGCACTTGGAATGCTACCGTTGACGGCATTGTCTGGCTCAAAGAAGACAACCTTGCACAGAGTACCCCCAATGTCAAGGCCCACGCTTGCTGCGTTTGAAGCCCCTTCGAGTAAGTAAGTTTGCCGCAGCTCTGCGACATGGCAGCTCGCAGAACCTGGATCGGGGCCCATAATTCTGAGAGCTTCCAAGGTCGGACACGCTTTGTGACACCTGGCTAGATGGTTTTGCAAAGCTGAGAATGAGCTATTAAAAGTACAAGCCATCTTGCTGGTAGATGATCGATCAACACAAACTTAAATAGCCACCCTGCCCCTTGTGATTCGTGAAGACATCCGCAGCTCTCTTTCTTGGCTGCTTCACTGCCAGCTCAGCATGTGAGGTCTTGAGCCCCGGTTCTTGCCGTCGATTTGCGAGCTTTCCTTGAAGCGAATCGACGGTCTTCCGGTGACTGTTCTAGCTCTTGTCTGCGCCGTCAACCAACGAGGACATTATCGGACGGTATACAAAGTCTTTGCAGCTGCGACTTCTCGCCACGTGGACGGGTTTAAGGAGGTCTCTTTGCCGCCAAAATTTCAATTGCTGCAGACCGTGAACACTGAAGGGCACCCCACAGAAGTGCTGTATTCAATACCTACCTACATGGTACTGTGCCGAGGTAGTTCATGGGGGCGGGAAGCTATGGTTGAAGCTTGGCACCTCTGATCTGATTCATCATGCCACAAGCTCCTCCATGGTTCCTTCATGGGTAGAATGGTCGCAAGGCGCGGCGCTGCCGTTGAGAAAAAGATTGGCAATACATACTTAGCTTTGTCCTTTGACGCAGCTGGTATATGAGAAGTTTTGATGAGGTCTCACACCCCCTCTCTGAAAACGAACCAGGGGTTTGAGAAGTTTGTCTGGCTTGGAGACACTGGATTGGGAGGGCTCGCACCTTGAGCCAGTCCTTTCTCAACTAGAGGACACGTTCCCATGTACTCTCCAGCGGTAGCAAATCTGGACAATAGCTACTAGCACGGGACCGCTGATTACAGAACTTGAGAGTGCGAGCTGCAGGGCGAGACATTGCAATCATGGTTCTCCACGATATGGACATCTTGATTGCAGTCGCAACAGGGCTGGGAAAGAGGGAAGAGGACGCCAGTGGGTCTGAGTACTACCTCAAGGACCCGGAATGTCTCGGTGAGCAACATCTTGGCTGGCTTCTTTTGCATTTCCTACTGAGTTTAGCAAGCTGCTGCCATGAATGTGCTCAATGGTGGCCAATGCAATCAGCGGTGGTGCCCAATCCCCTACGGTGGGACAATTGTTGTTGAAAGCTCAGTTATCCCTTCAAACCTTTGGGGTAGGACATTTTGACTAAAGGGTTACTAAGGGGTGCGTTCATATGGCTATTGAAACAGGGCTCATGGGCACTTGGCATTGAATACTTTTACACTTTCTAAAGTAACAGCAAATCAAAGCAATTGCAACCAGGTTTCCAGACCAAAACTGCTACAGCATAGAAGGCTTATGGCTTCCATAACCTCCCTTGATTAAAGCAAGAGTGATATTTTTTGGATTCTCTGCAGAAAATCTAAAGGATCTACAGCGCTTTATGCGCCGAGACAATCCGGAGTCTCGGGACGTCTTCATGCAGCTTGGACAGTGGAACATTGTCCGTCGGGATCTGGTGCCGATCATCACTACCTACCGGAGCAACTATGAGCTCGTTCTAGCGGCAGGTAAAATGGCCATCCATGCGAATGCTTTCAGCACGTTGCAACCTTCAGGCGCCATTGCGGCTTTGGACATGAATGAGAAGTGCATGCTGAACTGGTGGTCAATGCTCACGCCCTTAGTGTTCTACCTCCTTACATGCTTTGAGGACAGCCGTAAAGTTACTGGCTCAACTTTCTAATGATTTTGGCACGTGGAAAGAGAAGAGCATGACAGAGTCATGGTCAAGCTCTTTGTTTTCCATTGTGCCAAAGTCTCTGACATCTCCAAGAGTGCTAAAGTTTCTGAGATCTCCAAGAGGACCAATGATGATCGGCTGCTGTGCTCTGAAATGAGAAATAGAAGGACTCTTGTAATCCAATTCACATCATGATGATGATTCTTGTTGCAGTTTAGCCAAAGTAAGCACACTTACTGCAGAATGCGCACTTTGCTTTTTCTTTCTCCTCTATTGACCTTGTCATACGACGAACTACCAACACTTCAAAGACTCTGATAGGTTTTCCAGTTCCGTCATCCGCCACTTCTTGACCAACTCATTGACCTGCTATTGACCTTGCGCATTTTATTGCATTCCTTGAGCTTTCGCAAGCATAGCCCAAATAGCGCTTGCACCAAGTTTTACGAGGGCACTGCTTAGTAAAGCAGTACTTGCAGAGTACTGCATGGTGCACCTACAAGCCCCTTCTGTTCAGGTCATCATGTCCGACTTCAACCTACATCATCACAAAAGCAACCATTTTTCAGTGCATGTTTCCCAGTATCCTCACGACTCTGCCTTGGTTGCTGCAGTCAAGGTCATTGTCTTCTTAACGATGCCCCCCGTTCCGGAGAGTGACAACGTAAGCCGCCAGCTAGAGTACCTGCAACGCTTCAAAGCGGCGTTCCTGGAGGACGAGGCGCTGGGGGTCATTGTGGCCATGATGGAAGAACCGCTGGCGCACCTTGAAAGGTGAGGCGGGCATGTTCTTTGCACTGGCAATGTGCATCACTTTATGGTGCTTCTCAAAAGAAATGTTCCTGGAGGAGGCGCGGTTACGGCACAGATTAATGTCAGAGGCGATGAGTTTCAGACCTTAAACGATAGTCGTGTCACCCATCGAACGCCACCAGCTGACAAAGGCTGGTGACTGTGTTCCATGTTCCACTGAAAAGGAGGTTGCATAGGTTCTTCTGGGCAGAACCAATTCACAACCAGCAGTTTCACGAATACTGCTGGGAAGGAAACCACGACTAGAAGTTATCTTTTCTGGGTCAACACTTGCGAGATGTGGGCACACGATCCTTTTCTCGCATGTATGATATCTACGAGTACATTGTGAATCGGGCATATCGCATTCTCCAACGCAAATGGAAGACTTATTTGCGAAGTTTCGCTTCTTGGCAGTGACGAGTTCACCGACGACGATGCGCGCCTGGTCCAGCTGTTCCTGACGCTGTTCCGCAACCTGCTAGCCATCTCCGACCCCTCAGCGCAGCAGACGACAGCCTCAGGGGGCGCGCACCTTGCCTACATGAAGGTACTTCTTTTGACAATCACGTAGTTGCGACTTACTGTTCTGTGGTTGTCACAAAGATTTTATAGCTGCTAAACCAGCTCCCAACATGCCCCATGACGGTACACACTGTCAATCTGACCTTTCAGCTTACTTGACCAATGTTTTGACCATCTCGAAAGCTCAAGATGACCAGCGCTTCGACGTAGGTTACAAATCGGCTATAAAACCCTTTTGAAGTCGCTTTTTAGGTGCTTAAGTTCGGGGTTCGTGTCTTCTAGCTTTCCACGCCCATCTTTGCGATCGCATTACTTGCTCCGCCAGTTTTCATCTCATAACGACGGGCCTTCCTTTGCCCTTTACTGTAACGACATAATCTCTGCTCCTATATGGTACCCGCCCACATATGCGAAGTTTGGCCCTTATACAGCTCTTTGCGAGCACCCTGCCAGGTTGTAGATATAGAGGGAAGCTTCAAAGATAGTCGAAATTATTTGTCGAAACGACTTTTGGACCAAGTTGGTCGTCTAACTTTTAACTTTCCTTCCTTAATCGAACTTGGCAGGTTGGTCGCAAAGAGCTGTAGCCGGTATCCTGATCAGACGCTCTCCCCACTCGCATCGCAGGAGGAATTGCTGGAGCGCCTGTTCCGGGAGAGCGTCATGGACCTGCTTCTCGCATTGGCGCCCCACGTGAGCCGCGACGGGCGCAAGGGCCCGCTGCGCAACGACAACCTGCTACTGCTCGAGATCTTCTACTTCACCTTCAAGGACCAGCGCCCGCTGGACCTGCTCACTACGGCGGACGAGAGAGACGCCGGCAAGGTCCGTAGGAATCTGTTTCCATCCTTGATTCAATCCAATATAGCGAGACATAGTAAAGCATGGTCGAAACGCAGATTTCGCCCGGTGTTGATACCTACCTGAGCCTGGTCACGACGATCTTGAGTTTCATCTCCTTTTCAAGAATCAGCGGCCACTGGTTTGCTCACTGTAGCGGACGAGAGAGACGCCGGCAAGGTACGCACGATTCTGAATCCATGTTCTTTCTGGATTAGAAGCAATGCAACCCCCAGGTTGAGAAGCTGGTGAAGGCAATTTGGGTGTTACTGCTCTAGTGCATTGGTAGGCTCTCTTGCCCTCTCGAATGGCGGGGTACTCAAGAGCAACAACGACTCGTCTCTGGAGCAAGCAGACAGTTCTGGATCAAGTCCGTTTTGAAGCAATTTGCAGTGATTCAGGAGCATACGACAAGGCTAGAAGAGACATTGGCCGGTAGCTGGTCTTGCACGACCTTAAGAGCGCTCGCGGACTGTTTAGGCGGATAGAAGCCATTGAAAGGAACGGGGACATCTCATTCCCTGGCTTGCACCTGTCCGTCTTTTAACTTTTGGTCCATAATCTCTAGAACTGTCTTTACAAACAGCATCCAACATTCTTCACAAGCATTTCAGCGTGACAGCAAACAGGACGAGAGATGGCCTCTTTCAGGGTCGAGACGAGATATGGACCTCTTTGGCTCTTTTCGTATGTCTTTGGAGGCTCTCCCATATATCAACCAACGAAAGCATGTATTTATCTTATTTGTTTCACTTGTTTTATTCATTTCAATCACTTAATTTTTATTTCTAACATGCGACACAAATTTTACATTGATTCGATGAAACCCATTGTTGCTGTAAAGACACCATACACGTATGATACGACTACTGAAAAGGTTGAGGAAAAAGATTCTATTGTCATTTTTGTTTTGGATGCAAGAAATTTTTGTCTAAACAGTTGGTGCTGCAGGCGTCCAAGACCGCAAGCGCTGCGGCGCTGGAGATGCAGCAGCTGGTGGAGAAGGAGCAGCGCAAGAGGGCGCAACTGCTCATGAACGGACCGCCGCGGCACTCCTTCTTCGCCGGAACGTACACCAGGAAGTGGAAGGTAGGGTGGTCCTTCGTAAAATCGGCATCGTACCAGGTGTCAAATGTTACACGGTCGGATAATGCTTCTGCTCTTCAATCTCCCAATGCCATCTACTAGACCTTCTGTTTTCACCTCTGACTACTAGGAAGTGGGAGGTGTGTGGTGCCTCGTCCAACCCTAAACCCGTCTCCTCGTCAAGTTGTATACACGTTTTTGATCATCTTTGCACCCCTGTCGATGTCAGATCTAAGACGATTTGTTTGCACTTTGGATTCCTTCTTTCTTTGGATCTTACCCTCTTCAAACCCCTAGAACATGGCCTGTACACGAGCGATGCCGCGTCCTTCTTACTCACCACGGCGGATTCGTCAGCAACCAACATGTCTTCAACTCCTGCGTTTTGCCCGTTGTGAATACGACATTGCTCGAGCCATTTCGTGCGTAACGACTTCAAGTGCGTCTTTGAGGTCATCGCGTGCAGCCAGGGTCAACCGTGTTTCTGACGTCACCTCGTGTATGAAGGCGCAATTTCCATTGTTCCCACCAATTCTTTTGTGTCCGACTTCGTTCGCCTTGCGTCCAAAAGCAGCGTCCGGCATAAGAAGTTAGCAAAAATGGACTGGTTCAGCTGATCTAAGTGAAACGCGACGTCATCTCGTGCAGGATGGCGCACCTTCGATCGTCCGCACCAACCCGTTCGTGTCCGACTTCGACCGCCTCGCGTCCAAAAGCAGCGTCCGATCCGCCCGTATGAAGCCCGTCGCGGCTCGCGAGGAGATGGTCCACCTAAACGCCCAAGTCAGGGGGATGCTCAAGGAGCACGCCGACCAGTTCCTTGAAGGGGGGTACAACGGTGAGTGCTTTCTTGCCCAAAGTTGTGCGAAAGTGCATTGAAACGCCCAAGTCAAGGCGATGCTCAAGGAGCACGCGGATCAGTTTCTCGAAGGGGATACCAACAGGTCAGTGCTTTCGTGCTCCACTTGATTCATTTTTTTGGGAAAAGCTTAAGAAGTATTCCGTCGACTTTGAATGTCGAGAATATGCGGGTGGACTTGGGCGTGGCGTGTGGGTTGGCAGCAGCTGTACAGGCGCAGCCCGGGAAACTATCTGGGTCCTGCATCGTTCTGTAACGCAATGCGGCATCCGTATGGTACCGCACCACTTCACTGTCTCGTTACGGGACCTTACTGTCCTGCTGGATAGTATCCCCCGCGCTTGCAAAACGGTTTCCTAGTTCTGGATCATACCAAAAGCCCTTTTGCATACTTGCGACGATGACAGTTCTCAAGAGCAGGGTATACGCCTTTTCTGCTGATACATTCGATTGACTTAAGCAGCAAACCGACGGAGCACTTTGTGCTTGTGCAGTGCTGATGAAGACGGTGAAGGACGACATCCGACGGGAGAGCCCTCGCGCGACGCCCATGGACGCCGTCATGTTCTTCAAGGTCGCGGGCTTCTTCACAGCGTACCAAAAAGAGCGCCTCCAGGGTGCCAAGGTGAGGGTGCAGATCGGCTCTCCATCGTATCCGTATAACAGGCCATACGTGTTTCTCGATCAGGGTTAGCTCTGGGTAACTTAAGATCTTGAAATTCTGAGAGCTTAAAGGTCACCAGCTCCGCACCCTAACCCGCCCTGAGCAGCCCCTACTCACCCCACTCGTTCCAAGTTGGCGACTGTTTTATTCTGAAGCTGTAATTCCTCGACTAAATCAAAAGAACCAACGGTACGAAGTTGTGTAAGGGAAGAGCACTTTCTATAACGTGCCTTGTCGAGCAGATTGAGAAAAGACTTCAGCAAGGACGAAGGAGGTCGCTTTGCACTCTTGGACAGTCGCCCACTTCGGCATTTCGCTCCGCGAACTCTGCACCTCGACTACCTGAAATTGCAAACGAAAGGCAGGAACTGTGTTAGGAGATCCCGGGGCTCGTCAATATGGACCGCATAAGAATACGCTGTCGTCAAAAGGCTCTCGGCTCTTTTGTCCTCAACCTCGTTTGCATCTTCATGGTGCTGGGGCTCGTCAGATTTTTCCTGACACGCTGTATCCTGTTGCCCTTGACCGAAGGCTGATCCTTCGGACCTTTTCTCCAAAATAAAACTGGCGCCCCTCCTTGCAATGCAGTCAGCCAAGGCGGCCGCTCAGCGCGCCGCCAGCAAAAGAACTCCAGAGGAGAGCGAGAAAGAATTGAAAGCGGCCGATGACGCTTTTGCTATGGCGGTGCGCGGGTGCGGAGAGATCGCAGCGACCATGGATGAGGAGATGTTCAACATGGTGGTCGCCCGATGGCGCGAGTACGCGGAGACCATCAAGGAGGGCAAGGAGTTCACCGCGCTCGCGGCCGCGGGGGCGCTGCTGAAAGACATGGTGAGGAAACGGAGCGCGGCTGGAGCTGGGAACTGAGTAACCGCCTACACTCGGGCACCTTGACCTCGCACTCAGGATGTTGCACGGCCAGTCTGCAATTGCTTAGGTGCGAATTATGCGGAAGTCGACGATATACCGAATTTCCGGCCATTGTGGGAGGTATCAAACCAGCCGTCAAAAACAACATCTTGGGTGCGAAATGAAGGGGCCCGAGACAGTATGTTGTTTAAGGTTGATTGATTGATGAGGTACTGCCGATATCGTTTTGCGACGCGTATCAAACATTACCAGTGCTTGAACGTGACGTTTGCCGTGCCTATGCACGGTTTTGACCATCTAATGCGGAGCGAAGTTACAGCTGTAAGCCAACAAGACGATGTTTTTTACCGTGATGTCAAGACTCGTTGGAATAGCTGCTGGGGTCCGGTCGGGGTACGCAGCAAGTCACGATTGGATCGATCGGAGCTTTTCGCTTGAAGCGTCGACCTTATTTCGAGCGAGCATCGGTCTCTCTCTAGAACATGGGGTCAAATCCTTCGCCGCATGAGGAAACTCGTTGGAGGCGTCGACCTTATTTCGAGCGAGCATCGGTCTCTCTCTAGAACATGGGGTCAAATCCTTCGCCGCATGAGGAAACTCGTTGGAGACCTTGTGATAGAACATTCTGGGGTGTATACTGGTCAGATAAGCTCTGAAGACGAACGGTGACCAAATAATTTTGCCCGCAGATCCAGAATCTGGACCTGACAAGCGCTCGTGAACTCTCTATGAATCACGCAGATAATGACCTATAACATCCACACAGAGTAAGAAATGTTCACGAATGCTGACTGGATGCTTTTGCACCGCAGATCCACATCCTGGACCTGATCCTCAAGACCGCGGACGCGCGCACGGAGGCGGGCAAGCGCGAGCGCAGCGTGGCGCACATCCTACTGCTCAAAGTGTTCTACGACCAGACGGACACCGGCATCCTCAGCTTTCTTGTCCGGCTCATCAAGGCGTACGACAGCTCCAAGCAGCCCAAAGCGTAAGCCACCCGCGCGCGCACTTCTCTGCAGTTTCTTCTCGATCTCAATTCGAGTTGTTGTTGACGCTACTGCTGACGTAGTCATGTCCTTCCTCCTCAGTCTCCGTCAGAGCCTGCGACCGCGCAAAGCAGCCGAAAGGCCGAGCCTGCGTGTTCAGGCTCCTGTACAATCATGTTAAGTGCTGCCTGATTCTTTTCTTTAGTTACCCGTTACCGGACAAATTACCCTATGACTTGATGATTTACCGAACGACGATCAATCTTCTGAGGAGAAGTATTCATCTAGGGAACGCTCCATTCAAGCGCAAAAAAAGAAACCCATGGCAATCTTCTGGAGGTACTTTTGGCAGAAGGTTTCCTCCACACAGTCATCAAGCTTTCTAACGATGAATGTTTGGCCCCCAAGTGTGGAAAGGATGCCGTACGTGCAATGTAAGCTGCCGACAACCGCGACAAACAAAGCACAGGGAGTTTTTGTCAGGGCAGCCTCCTTGGAGATCTTACTGATTTTCACTATTTATGCGCAGCGACATGGGCACTTTGGTTGAGATGGCGCACACGATCCTGCGCATGCTGGAGGAGTACAGCAAGGCCAACGGCGAGATCCGCGTGCTCAAAAAGGTGCGCAAAGTGCGCCGCAGAAAGAAGCTGCCCCCGGTAATGGAGGCCGAGCAACCGGTTGACGAGACGGAGCGACCGGTTGAGGGTACCGAGCGACCGGAGGATGCAGACGAGTGGCCGGAAGACGGGGACGGGGGTTTAGAAAAGGACGCAGCGATCAATGAGGGGAACGCGGAAAGATTGGGAGAAGAGGGAGAGCAAGCGCAGGAAGAAATGCAAGGAGATTTGGGTGAAGCTGAGGGGCCGGTAGGAGAGACCGAGGGGCTGGAAATCGAGACCGAGCTTGTCGAGAAAGGAGACGGGGAGGTGGAAGGAGAGACTGAACGCCCAGGAGAAGAAACCGAGCGCTTGCCTAACGAGAAACCAGACCTGAACGGACTGGGAGGTGATACGGAACTCCCACTCGGTGAAGATGCGGAACCAGTGGCCGTGGAAGTGGGACACGGGGCCCCGGCTAAAGCCTTAAGCGACCCTCTCGCTGAGCATGACCGCCCGGAAAACCCGGAAGAGGGGGAGACGGATCCTGCGACTGGGGCGGCGGCTGAGACGGAAGCGCTGGGCGACCAGGCGGCAGAGAATGGCACTCAGAGGTCGCCCGAAAGACGCGACGGGCTCGTCGAGTCGGACCGGGAGGATAGTTCCAACCCGGGGCACGGGAACAGCTTCGGGCAGCGGCCGGATTCCGCCCCGGAAGAGAGCGGAGTCGTCCGCTTCGACGCGCCGGAAGGCAGTGACGTCATCCGGTTCGACGCCGCCGAGGAGAGCGGCGTGATCCGCTTCGACGGGCCGGAGAATTCCGGCGAGGTGAGCCAGGCGCGCGCGCGCGCGGCCGCGGCCGCGGGCGAGGTCGCGTCGGCGGGCTTGCAAGACGAGTACGAAGAGTACGAGGAAGAAGAGGAAGAAGATAACACGCGCGAGGTGGTTTTGGACGCGAAAGCGTGCGCGTTTCTGTTTGCGGACAACACGGTGGTGCGAAACCTGGTCTGGATGCTGGAAGGGTACCGGCGCAACTCGGTGCAAGTAAACTACTACATCGGGCGGATGCTGGAACGGATAGCGAAGGACTGCGAACTGGAGCCGATGCTGTACCAGGTACGTACCGGTTTGAGCTGAGGGATAACGGGTACTGAGAGTATTTTTTGGGGGTCCCTTTAGCCCTAGAATCATCCCGCTTGGGCTTTACGAGCAGCCGTGATCAGTTACATGGTGAAAGTGCCCTCAACTTCATGTCAGCGGACTTGAATTCCTGTGAAAATGCCTTATTTCAGGTCAGTGGACTAGCTACTGTGGTGATGTTCAAGGTTGTAGGTAGATGAAGAAAGACCGACAGGTTGATATGGTGCCCATCGTGCTCAAATATCAATGGCACTGGATTTACTCAATTGACGAACCAATCTGCTTGTGGGCGCATGGTAACAGGATCAGTCCCTACTACCTATTTGACTTCCATGCTCGCTGGCCCTGCTGTTGAATTGTACCAATTAAGCCTGACGTCAGCTCTTCCACCCCCGGCTGCAGCTGGCCTTCTTCGGCACCTTCTACAAGGTCGTCTCTGACGTCAGCTTCTGCCGCGCCAAGGAGAACGCGCTCCTCGCTGACGTCCTCACCCGCACCGTCCGCCATTTCATGGCCACCGCCGCCGAGCAGCCCCTCGTCTTTATGGAGGTCAGCATGTTTATGGTCCCACTGCTTTTGTTTCTTGATACGCGTATTCTTCCGCTGCTGTGTTTCATTGCTCCGCTTTTCGGAAACAGCCCGTTTCTTCTACGTTACAGATTGGTGAAAGTGTGGCTCTTCAATCTCTAGAACTGTGGAGCGAAGAGCCACACTTTCAAACTCAGTAAGTGGGTCTTTTTCGTCGCGCTGTTTTTTGTTTCTTCCGTGAGCGCTCGTATCTTCTCTTTATTCGGGTTCAAAGTGGAGTGTCTGCTTCGGGGCGGACTTAAATCTAAAGGGACCCCCGACAGCTTCGCAAGGTGCCCTTAATCTGCAATAGCGCCGAACGGTCTTCTTTTCCAACGTGCATCTGATTGTCCAGCTAAACGTTTCTTTGTGCTCACATGCGCGCGGTTGTCATGCCAATCCCAGTGTTACAAAACTGGGTGTTATCATGGGCAACCTTTCCAGGTTCCTTGATACGTGTCCGTTATGCTGTGTCAAAACAGGCTCACCCCTCCTCTAGCGTTTCCTGATTCGTAATAGTCAACCAACTAACCAACTCACTAATGACTAATGTATAGTCTTTCGAGTCAACCCCCGACCGCAATAAGCTCTGATAAAGCGACACGTCTTTCTCTCGCGCAGTTGCTGTTCTGGAAGACGGCTCGCGAGTGCCACCTCATCTCGCAGCGGTACAAGGAGGAGCCGAAGCACAAGGGCCGCCGGGGCAACGCGCCAAAAGGGCTGGGCGGTGACGGCGATGGGTAAGCTGCTGACGTCATCTTTCGGAAACATACGTCAGAGAAGTTGACTTGAAGGACGAGTGGTCCGGGCTGCTGAGATCGTACGCTTGGAAATGACGAAATGCCCCGAGGGCGCCCGTTGCTGAAATGAGGAGGGAAGGAAAGGCCTTTCTCTCTTTGTTCTACGTTCTGCTTTACGTCAATTATGTAACTTTGAAGGTTGCTGTAAGTAGTCAGCTGAGAGATACTCTTTGGAAGTTCACTATTGGCGGCAACTTTGGGAGTCTGACGGCAAGTAAGATTCGATTCAGCGAACACGCGAGGAGAGAGGACTGACCTGGCTAATGATCCGAAGACCAGGGCAAGATCTGGCTTCGGCGAGAAGGCACGGGTGGCTGGTTTGCGGGTGCAGTTAAACACAGAGAGTACGCAGGATCAGGTCATGTAGGATGACAACTGGTCTATTTTGATGTGGTTCGCCAAAGTAAGCCACTTCTTCCGGCCCTATGACGGGCAGCCCCGTAGAGCCAAACGAGGCGCTACGTGCAACTGTCATGATCGAGCAGTTGGTCGAATCTGAGCCGTCTTTTCAACTGGTGCAGGGCTTGTGGGCCATTCGATGCTGAAGCCGACGAGCAGCTCAAGGAGCTGTTTGAACGGTACGTCTCTAGCTCCCGTAACGGCTTCCACAAGCCGAATTCTATACCTCGCTGTGTTGCTATCGGTCGACTGCCCAGGTCGGCATCGGACGATGTTATCAAGTATGTCATCTGCATTGCTTATGCCGCCTTCTATAAGCACTTCTGGGGGAGAATTTATTTCAATAACTGTCAAAGCAGGCAACGCTATCCGAGGACGTGCGCTTTTCCATTTTCGAAGCAAACCCCCCATCTGGCTTATTTCCTTACTGTGAGACCCTGGATCTGTTTGTTTGCGCTTTCGAGCTTGTGAGAGCAAGAACGGAGGCACAGCGGTCGCTCATCAAGAAGCAAAAGTAGAAATAGCAGCAAGTAGGGAATGCAAATCATCAGATCGAAACGATCCTGCAACAAGAAAGAACGAGATCGAAAAGCAAGGAAGTTGGTGTTGCGCGTATCAGAGGCCCCTTGACAGCGTGCACTGTTGCTTCAAGCCAGGTTCAAGCACGAGAGGGGATGAAAGGACTGATAAGCAAGCCATCAGGATAAAATAAATCCCAGCAAAGGAGGACCGTTTACGAGAAACAAAGAGGCTGCTGCTGGGGTATTCAACGCCCTCTAAAGTATGAATATCTGTTTTAATCCAGGTTCAAGCACGAGAAGGGCTGCAAGGACCTGATCTACGGGGCCCTAGACGGCGAGTTCCGCAAGTCGCATATTGCGAAGCGGCTGAAGCAGCTGGGGCTCACCGGGACTAGGGGGCGCAAGCAGGCAGCGTTCACAGAGGAGCAGGACGAGCGGATCAGACAGCTCTTTGACAAGTGAGCTGCCGATCGATTTACCAGAAGTGAAGTGGTCGCAGGACGTGACTATCTTTTGGACCGTGCAGATCTGCAAAGGTCCTTTTGCTCAATCATGCATGATGAGGTCGAGAGATGTTTGACGGTGCTTCTTTTCCCGACTCTATACCTACCTCCTCGCTGGGTATGGTTGGCTTACTCAAATACGGAAAGAGAGCACCCTCTGAGAGAGATCGACCGTTTCCAAAGCTGCGAGCCTTCTTTCAGAGCTGCTGTGATGTGGGAATGACCTTCGTCTGTATTGACTCTCACAATCTATTGTTGTGTGAGGGCGTTGCTGATGTGGGCTTGCTACCAGACCTGCCGCCCGAAGGAGGCCGCCTCATTGGTTGAGAGCGGATTTTGGACAAAGCTCCCCGATCTCGTTATGAGGTGTGACTTTGACCATTACTAATTATCTTCTTTTGACCTGGGACTTGATCCTCCTTCTTTTCTTCTCTCATGCCTTCCCTAAAAGCAGGCTATGACGCCACCACCTTCAAAGGGTTTTCAAAGGGTACTCGGTTTCTAAAGAGAGACTTGATCTCATCAGGCGGAATCCCGAGTTGGGTAATGATGGTTGCAAGTTCCTGAGAGCTCCCTTCCGCCTCTTTCAGGTACAAGAGCAACCGCAGCTGCGCAGCCCTGATCGCCGGCGACCTCGAAGGCGGCTTCACCAGGGCGCAGGTCGCCCGCCGTTTGAAGCAGCTGAACCTGAGCCGCCCCAAGAAGGGCGCATTTGATGCCCTCATCGAGACCTCCAGTGACGACAGCTCGGATGACGACAGCGAGAGGGAACGAGACAATCTTGAAGAAAATGAGAGGGGGGAGGAAGACATGCCGGACGGCGATGCTGGCGCGCCGCCGACAGAGACGTGGGAAGCGGACAGAGCGGTTGGGGAAGCGGATCAGAACGAGGTCACACAACGCGTGCATCAGCTGATGAGATACGGTGAGTTGTGCTGGTGAACGGCTTCTGGCGTTGATCTCTTAAAGCTGATTCTGGTCGTGATTCTGTTTGTTGTTCCTTCTCTTTTTAAGTTTTTTGAGGTCTGTCTTCCAGTGGTAGTCCTGTCGATTTTCCGTTTTCGACCTCAGGAGGATTAATTCTTCCGCATTAGTGAATCTTGGCCTTCTTTTGCTGTGTGTTGAAAGCCGTTGTAGCTGTCTTGAGGTCCGATATCTGGTAGGACCGGTCCAATGGAAGCTTCAAACTTCTGACTATGTGGCAGACACGGATGACGTCAGCAACGTTCTCTCGAAGATTTGTCGAACGAGGAATTGGGTTGTTCGGGAGGTCGTTGAAGGCTGAACCTTTGTCGCTTTTTCTCCATCATCTGAACGGATTCTCTGCCAGATCCTCATTATCCTGTCAGCGGGGATCTTACTTACCTCTTGAGACTCTAGCACGGTTCTCGACAGAAGAACCCTACAAATAGCATCCATTTCTTCTGAAGATGCTATTTCTTCTGGAACAGGCACTCTGGAAGAGGGCGATGCTATTGAGTGGGTCGTTGCCAAGATCGACACGGTGCTGGCCGACTGGAAGGGGGATCCCTCCAGCGCACCCGCTGCTGACGTCACTGCAGACGGCGCGGCCCGTCCGTCTGACGCAAAGAAAACCGATGGTGACGTTGGCAAACAGAGCGACGAGCACCCCACCCAGGAAGCTGGTGTTCAGGAGGAAGGGGGCAAAGAGAGGAAAGCGGCGACGGGGACGAAGAGTGACGTCTTCGCTGACGTGGCTGGCGCTGGAAGTGGGAGCGGGGCGGAAGAAGGGACAGGGCAGGGGAATGACGAGTCATTGGAGAGGGGTGCAGATGAGGCGGTTGCGATGGAGGTGGATGGAGGCGAAACTGCGGAGCCGGCAGAAATACACGCAGAGGCGGCGGGAGAAACGGAGGGTGTTATGCTCGGGGAAGACCTGCCGACCAACGAGGAGGGGGGAGAGAACCCCTTGGAAGCGGACGCTCCTGCAGGCTCCGGTGTTAATGCACCCGAACAAGGTCAGAACGCTGCAAATGGGGGGGACGAAGCTCCCAAGGAACAGGGGGGGTTTTCAGGTGAAGAAGCCCCCGAAGACCTGCAGGCGCCGGCAGGCACCGAGGGTAGCAACGCACAGCCGAGACTCCGATTTTACGATCTATTCCGATGACCCGAGCCTACCGGACGTCGGGGCCCTCGCCCGTACGGAGACGGCCCGGTACGTCAAGGCGGCTGGCTGGA